ACCCGCAGAGCTGCCCGGAGGACAGCCGTTGTTGAAGGAGAGTGAGGCGGCACCCGTGAGCTGCTGCTGCACGCTGCCGGTATTGCCGGGCTGCCAGCGGGTGTTCAGGTGATATGTCCTACCTGGCTTCCCCCTTCTCAGCACCTCCGCTGATGGTGGGTTAGGGGTAGGTGGGTTTGGGACTATCCGCACGCAGTGTCTGTGCTGGCTGGCCATTCGTTTGGGAGTTTGGGTTGTCAGTGAATGCAACGGCAATGTGCTGGAAAAAAAAAAAGGCCAGCGGTCTGTTGTTTGCGTTGCCCGGTGAAATAGCGGTGTGGATTTGATTGAACCAACTGTTCTAGTATTAACTGATAAATTGTGGTAGCTGGGTATTCATTCTTAGTAAAATGGTTTAGACTGTCATCTATTATAAGATTGTCCTGGGTTCACCTGTAACAGTTATTTTTCTCCTTCTTAGTAGCTGGTGCAGTGCTGTGTTTTCAACTTTAGTCTGAGAACAACGCTGATAACACAGTGATGTTTTTAGTTGTTGCTGAGTAATGTTTACCCAGATCAAGGACTTTTCAGTCTCATTCTCTACCACTGAGGAGGGGCACAAGAAGCCAGGAGGAAGCAGAGACAGGACACCTGACCCAAACTGGCCAAAGGGGTATTCCATACCACAGCATGTCATGCCCAGTATATAAACTGGGGGGAGTTACCCGGAAGGCCTAGATCGCTGCTCAGGTCGGGCTGGGTATCAGTCAGCAGGTGGTGAGCAATTGTATTGTGCATCACTTGTGTTTATTGTTTTCCTTTTCCCCTTTTAGTTTTATATTCTCTGCCCTTGTTATTTCCTTTATCATTATTATTATTAGTGGTCATAGTTTTGTATTACACCTTAGTTATTGGACTGTTCTTATCCTAACTTGCGTGATTTACGTTCTTTCAAGTCACCTCTCCCTCTGGGAGTTGGGGGAAGGGAAGAAGGGGGGGGAGTGAGAGAGTGGCTGTGTGGCTCTGTGTTACTGGCTGGGCTTAAACTGCGACAAAGATGTGTATTACCCTTGTTGTCAACCCAGCATCAGAGGAACGACAGGCCTATGCTACTGCCTGCGAAAAGGGAGGTGCATAATTCCTGCGTCTTTCCATGGCATCTTGGGCAGGTTGCTGCATATTTCTGTAGCATATAGTGGCAGGCTGTTGCACCTTTGTAGGTATAAAGGTTATCACTAGGATAGTGATAACTGTAGGATGAATGCACATAAGGGTGTTAGTAACTTAGTCCTAAGTATAAATGTATGTTTTGTTTTCAGAGTTGAATTTGTGGGTTTGTTTGGTCAGGGCTTTTTATTACAACAGTAAATAAAACACTGTCAGCAGTATTGCTAATCTGTCAATAAAATGTAACGAGTTCTTATTTGGAATGGAACACAGGACCATGAAGGGAACTTTGTATTCATCGTAGCATCTGGGTGTGTGTATAGGGAGCAAAACAAGGAGCTTTGTTTTCATAAAAGCCTTTTTAAAATCATCTTAATTAAAGTAATTTGCATTAAGTAGATTTCTTTACCAGCTTTCTGTCCCCCCAACATGTTCTTATGTATTTTGGTGACTATTAGAAAATTAAGATTTTGGTTTAATTTTATTTTGATTTGGAACTTGTTTATGGATAAAGCTGTAAACTTGTAATTTTACAGAATTTATGAATTCTTGGTCTTTTGCTCACACAGCTTAAGCAAGTGGGTTTTCTCTTCTTGCTTTGTGTAGCTTTAGTCTACAGTCACAGTTACAAAATTTTTGTAAAGTCAGTAGTTCTGATTGTTTAAAATTATCTATTTTATTCAATAGTGGAATCATGGGGAAGGCACTTTTTTTGGGTTACAGATCTATTTCACTCTGGAGTAGTAACATTTTCTGGGTTTTGTACTTTGCTTATCTTGATCTTAATAGAAAGAAATCTTGACTCTTAAGAAGATGTCACAAGGTTTGCCTGGGAAAAAATTCTAGATAGGGGTTTTCTTGCTCTATATGCTGTGATGGTTCTTTCACCTCTGACTAAGAGAAGGTGGGCAGAGTTTCCTGGTAGATAATTTGAAACAGCATCTGGTCAAAATGTGCTCTGCTTGCTTTCCCTCTGCTTAGGCAGTGGGTGTGCTTACACCAGCTAAGCTTGCCGTGGCATTCCCATTGCCAGCAGCGCAGGACAGGTCCTGTGTCAAGATCAATATGATCAGTTTCCATGCTGATGTCTTATAGAGTCAAGACCAAACAAAAGCCTCCAACCAACCCAAACCTACGCTGTTGTTACCACCATAACATGGTTCTAACAACTTTGGCATTTTTGGAGTGCTGTGATGAAAGGAAACTGCATGTTTCTGTAGACTGACTTACCTGGATCTGTCAATAGCATAAAACAGCTCTAAACCACTCAGCTCTCTGCATGTTAACTTCACAGGTGACTATGCATTTATTAATGGAATTTAGGATCTTTAGAGACAATCCAGCAATAAACCAGTTTGATTATTCAGGTGTGTCCCAAAACTCTATCTGCTTACACTTCTCTTTCTCCTTCCACCTTCTTTGTCTGATTAAACTACAACTGAATTCTGTAATAAACCCATGCTGGTGTAGCTCAGCCAGGCGCTTGGATTTAGCTTACTTAAACTTTTCTTTTAAATGTGAGCACTGGCTTTATTTTAGTTGGAGTAAAGGTTTCTAAATACCTCTGCCTCTTTACAAATAAAAAGTAATCTGAGCTTGTAGAATAATGAACTCCCCAATTTTTTTGGAGTTGTAGGAGACCAGTGACATAGAAGAGAAGCCAATATTGTTGCATGTGTGTGTTTGAGTTTCATCTGTTGCTCCAACATATTCCCTACCTGTTTGAACTACAGATGGGTTGGTTTGTGGCAAGTACATTTTATTGCCCACACAGATGCATCCTACTTGTCATAAAGCTTCTTCTAGGAGCACAAATGCAATTGCTTATGGTAGAGTTCATAGTGTATTGGACCTAGTAGCTATTTTCTTGGTTAGCTGCTGTCCAGACTATCTGCAGTGCACACACTTTTCATGATCAGTAGACTATCCTCTTGGACTCTCAGTATTAGACTTTATGCAAAGACATGCAGTGGCACAAAACAATGGCTTTATCAAGCAGCCTAAGAATTAGCTCAGTCTAAAAGCAAGTAACAAGAACGTTTTGGTATTCCTCGTGGTTCCAGCAGGTGGAACTAGATGCCTGCTTGGAATAAGCTTAATGTATTTCATCATTCAATAAGGAGTGGAGGGGGAAGCTCTCAGACAGAAGGCTTCAGGAGAGCTAGCATTCAATTAATGACATGTTAGCATTCCTAGGGTACTCTCAGCATGTAGTCTGGTATCCTACAAGTTTGTTTAATATGCCAAAATAAGTTTCGTCTACAAACATTGTAACTTGATTGTAACAAAATTGCTATGGTGATGGTAACATAGAGCTTTCCTTCACAGATGTAGCCCTAGAGGTGTTAGTCCTAGATGGACATTTGCTGTCTTACGTACTTACCTTGAGTCATATTTCCAGGACCTGCTATTTTCTGGTTTTGGGTTGTTTGGTATTTTTAACTATTTCCCTGGCTCTTAAGGTAAATAGGTTCTAACCAAAGAGAACACAAGTAAATGGAGTTCCTCTATGGGGCAGCAGGCAATGGAGGCAGAAAGAAGGTCTGTGGGGAAATCTTGATGGGAATTTTCATTATCTTGGAAGCACTGGGAAAGCTTAGGAAGGGGGTAAGTTGAGATTTTATCTAAAAGATGTCCTTCTTGAAGAAAGGGGGTTTGATTTCTCTGTAATTAAACTGTAGTTTACTCTGGTTTTAAATATTCAGTTACGATAACAGAAATTTTCTGAAGAATTAGTGATTTAAATATTTGTGTATTTTCATTGCACTTAAATGGTGAATAACGGTAAACATTAGTTTTAGAACAAGGTGCCAATAGGCTTGTTTTTGTTTTGGTTTTATAACTGGATCTTTACTTAGGTAGGGGTTTAGGTCTGCTTTTTGAACTGGTGTTCCACCAATCACAGTTAGTGTTGCACTTAAATGTCATTCAGCTGGTATTATGAAATATTTCACATAGGATCAGTGCGTAGGTATTTAATGTTCATAGCTTTTAGTGATTCCTGCTTAATTTTAATCTTTAAATAATATCTGTTTGTATGAAACTCTGTTCTTAACAAATAGCATAAAAATTTCCTTGCTGTAGAAATCACTTATTTGATTGACTTTTCCTTTTCTGTTGTTGTCTTACGCTCTGGTCTACAGCAGCTACTATCAAGTCTGTTGTGGAGTTCCTTTTGTAACATGACACTGGGTTGCTGCAGTTCAGGACTGCTAGAGAGTTTGAAGATTTTTATGGCACCTTCTTGTTGATTTATATTCATTTTTCATCTTTCAGCTCTGTGAAAAAGTTACCACTGGAGTTACTACTGACAAAAGTACTGTCTTGGCAAGTGTAATTGCTGCTTGCAGAAGGCTTTTCTCTCAACCTCCCAAAGGTGATTATAACTTTGATCAGTGAAGTGAAGCAGACTGCATTCCTTGCTGGACGCTGCATTTGTGTGCCATATAGGTTTATTGTCTGGGAAAGTTCTTGTATTAACCAGCCATTAATCTTGAGCTGAAAGATTGATTCAGGGAATTTTAGGAGTTATTAAAGAATGACTACTGTTTGCTCAATTTCATGCTGTGCAGTGCAGTTTGCTGTTGAACTTAGTGAGTCTATCTCTGGTTTGAAGGAGAGCTTTACTTTAGGTCATTAAATACATTTGATATTTTCTTGTCAGGAGTAGCAGATTTATTTCTGGAAACTTGGTAGAGCTCTTCAACAAACAGACAAGAACAAACCCATTTTTGCAGTCTATATGTTGCTAGCTGCTTTGCTGTTCTGTGCGTTCAGCTTGTGACTACTGAAGTGTAATTGTAAACTAAAAACCAATTATGAGCTCTTGAACTCTTTCTTAATAGGATTTGAAAAATATTTTCCCGGTGGGAAGAAAGCTAGTGGAGCTAAAGGTACAGCTGGAGAAACAAAAGGTACAAAAATCAGCTTCATTTCATTTGTTTTTTGTGGAACGTATATTTGTTAGATTTTAGCATACCTTTGTATGGATTTCTTGTCTATTTTCCTGGTAGATGTTTCTCTACCAGATTTGCTTAAAAGTGCAAATATATCTATTTTTTTATTAAATGTTATTTTGCTTTCATATCATGTATATCTTCTGGAATATTGTTTTTTTTTCTGTTGGAATGCTGTCCTTAAATTCTTGTTTCACTGTTTCCTGTTAGTTGACATTAGTAATGCATTCAGAGATTCTCTGTGTGTATAGTTTCAGCTTTTCCTAGAGCAAGCTAAAGTACACATTTTGTTGTATAGAAAAAACCAGAATTTTAATTCTGGGTGAAGATCCAGAACCAGCTCGATAGCCAGGACCAACCATGCAGCCTGCTGCTTGAAAGAGGAGTTAGCAACAGCAGTGCTAGAAGGAGCCCTATCTTTACAAAGACAGGGGTGAATCTGTAAATTATTACTAATAACAGCTACTGTGTTGTATCAGAAATCTATATAACACATCTTCCAAAGAGAAGGAGAGGCAGCAAACTGGGAACTCTCTTATGAGAGCAGTAATAGGAGCAGCAGTTTGGCTTCCACTAGGCCTTGAATCTAGTGTCATGCCTGGATTTCCAACTACCAAGCTCTTGAAAGAACTAGCATTGGAAGGAGTGCGTGTTAGTGTTGTACTCCATCTTGCCCTCTTGAGTATGTTAACATATGACAGCATGCAGACACGTTGTGAACTGATGAGTAGATGCATTAAGATGAACTCCTCTGCTGTAGTTGGCTGTTACTGTGCTGTGCTTGTCTCTACAATATTAAAAGAGGATGACAGCCTGTGATATCGATTAAACCCTGGGCTTTAAGGGGACTATAGAGTGGCTGGAGGGGTAAACTGTGGGAGAACATGTTACTTAGACCTTATCACGGAAAACAAACTACAAAGCAAACTACAACAACCCACCTCACTCCCCAAAACCAATGCAGAACCTCACCAATCCTCCCAGTCCCGACAAAGCTCTTGAAATAATCTTGTGTGTCATGGATTAGTGCAGTAAAAGTAAGTTTCATGCAGTCTCCATAAGAGGCTCCTTTTTTATATCTGGGACACTTGTGAGTTCTTTGTACCCAAGTGTCATAAGTTAGACAAGTATCAGACCTCCCTTCTGGTCATAACTAGGAGATAGATGTCTCTCTATCAGTTAATGGACTATATATCTGTTTTTCTAATTCTCATTTTTACAGCATTGCAAACTAGTTAATTTTTTTTTTTCATAATAACTCTTCTTTAAGACTAATAAGAATAGCGCAAAATTGGTATAAGAAATTCTGTTTGGTTTGTTATGTTTTATTTTTCTTAGAAGCAAAGCAGGCTAGTGCCCGGCAGCCTAGTGGGACTAGTAGTGGAGGAGGCGGCAGTGGTGGAAAAAAAGGTGGCAAGAAAGAAGAAACTAACTGGTGGACCAGATTACAGAAGGTCTTGACTTTAAAATATCTTTTTGTGATACTCTCTTGTCCCTGGGAAATAACCTTGCATGATTTTTGCTTTTTAGGGTCATACTCTGATTGCCTAAATCTTCCTTAGCCTCCTGTGTTTAGTATTTCATAGTAACTGGCTCTAGGTGGCTCCCCACTCAGTGTTTTTCATAAATAAGTTTTGTGTATTCCTTCAGAGATATCTAACTCTGTTTCAGGAATGTTAATGGAGTTTTAAGCCATGTAAGTATGGTTGGTAGTAACCAGCATTCTTATAATGGAACCTTAGGCCTATAAAAGCTTTGTATTTTGTTTCAGAATGTCAATTTGTAAAACTTGCTGACCACACCACCTTGGTTAAATGTAGTTTACTTTTAGGCACTCTGGCCATAATGGGATACTTATGTAAGTTTCTTTATGAAATTTATATTTATTATCATTAGCTGTAACACAAAGATGCTTGGTGTGCATAATTATTTTTCCTCCTTCTTGGGTTTTTCTTGAATTTTCCCTTATTTTTGTTGGTCTGGCATGTAGTCCTGGAGGGCAGGGAAAATTGTTTTAGAATGGAGGAAGAAAGGTCGCATAACAGACAGCAAAACTTTTTTGAAGTGGTTCATAGATCAAAACTGTTCAATTACTATTTGTAAAACACTGAAAGATTTTCTACTAATGCTGTAATTTCTTGGTTATATCTGATGTTACTGAAGTGTGTTTGTACAACAAAATAGCGTTTTGTTTGGCATTCTCTGTGGTAACCTTGAGGGCAGGGGAAAGGGGCCAGAAATAGATACTAGAACCTTATGTACTTACTGTAGTACAGAGTCTAAAACTTTTTTTTTTTTCCCCCTCCATTTCCTAGGGTGACATTCCATGGGATGTCAGGGAGTTTCGGATGTACGTAGTAGGAAGTTCTTTTTTCTGGACAATGGTGGTATATTACTTCTTCTTCAGGGTCCCTGGGAGAGAAATCACCTGGAAAGACTTTGTCAATAACTACCTTTCTAAAGGAGTGGTAAGTTGTGAGGGGAATCAAAAAGAAAAAATTAGTGTGCTGAAGATGCATATTTCTGCCCCCCTACTTATATTTGTATTCATGTGTCTGTGGAGTGAGAATGAGCTCAAGGGTAACTTTTGAGGGAGAAACGGATTAGCTTTCATTGTAATCAACTCCTTGATCTGATGTTCTGGATGGCTATGTGCATATTTGTGTCTTTTCAAGAGAGGAGAGGGGATGAGCAGCTCAGGGCAGAACTCTGTTGTTGGATAGCTCATGTAGATGCTAGTTTGAAGGGGCAGTGTAACCTCAGTCTCTTGGGGTATGGTTTTATAGCACAGGTAAGCTGGCCTAATAGCTTGAGCAGACATGCCAGCTGCCTTCAGAAGAAACTTCCTCCTAACCTCAAGCACTGCCATGGGCCCACCCCCCTGAAATAAAACTTCATGCCTTAAATTAGTTCCTCAGGGAATCTGAGGAGCAGCAGTGTGAACTGAAAGGTGGGGACGGGGAATGGAAGAATCCCTTCAAGGACAGTGCACTGGCATAACTGTGTTGTAAAATAGCCTCCTTTCTTTGTTTTCTCCTATTTTATTTCTTCTTTCTTTCTTACCTAGAGCCACTACTGGAGCAATCAATTTTATCATCAGTGTCCTATCTCTCTGTAGAACTTGGCAGCTTTCCACACTTGGAGTAATAGGCTAGTGATGTCCTAAGTTCAGGAGACAGTGTTTTACGCAGGCCTTTTTCCTCTTCAGGAACCACTAGTTCTTGGCTCTGTTAAGTCTCTCTTTGCAGCTTTGCCTGCAGGTTGGGAAAACACTGACTTGTTTTCTCCTGTGGGTTTCAGACCCAGGATTTTGTGTTAACAGCATGCTTCCTACCCCTCCATTCCTTAGATAAAATGCCAAACAGGTTGTTTCTTACCTTTCTTTGTCTTACTGACCTGTGCGGAACTCCTCTGTATGCTGCTTTTCTTCTGCCTAGGCTGCATCTTGCAGTCCTATTCTTAACTGACAATTATGTGTACATCTTGTGGAAAAAACCTTACTGATATTTGTCATGAAGCAGTAAGACACTAGCTCAATAGAAAGATGAGTTTAGCTGTTACAGTGAACAAAGCCTGAAGCCTTGTTGCAGAAAACATTATGAAAGTGGATTGTTGCACAAAACCAAGTCTCTTGGGTCTTTGTAAGATGCAGTCTGGATATTCAGATAAGCTAAATATGTAGCTATCAAGTACTGTTGGTCACCATAATGGCAACAAGTTAACGGGGAGAAGACATGAGCAGTACTAGGTTAGGGCCAAAACAAAGATGTTCAGGTAGTTTTGCACGAGGTCAGGGTAGATGTAGGTGGCTTCTTAGCTCATGCTTTACTTCACTTCTATCAGAAATGGCCACATGAAGCGAGTTCAGGGAAACAGCCTTTCTAGCCTGTGTACAATTCAGGCTCAACTTGTAGAACCATTGCTGGTTTTAAATTCTTTAAAGCTGTTGAAACCACTTGTTTTATGGAAAGAGGAAGGAGGAAGGAAAAAATGAGAGAAATTTTAGTTGCCCTCTGAAGAGACCTTGTCAGATTCAAGAAAATAATCATTTGAGACTTCCATTAAGATTTTTTTTTTTTTTTTTTTTTTTGGTACTATTTGTCTGCAAGCCTGCAGCTTAATGCTTTCTCTTAGTTTACATGGTGTCTGTCACCTCAGCTATATTTTTATCAAAGTGATGTTATTGTGTTTGATGTGATAGCACAGGAAGCCTTTTATTTTAGGGAAAAGAATTGAAAGAGCAAAGTTATATTTTCTCTCATTCAGTTGGTTCATTTTGGAAGCTGCTACAAGAATTTGGAGTCATGTGATCTATTGCTTTTGGTGTTTAACCATTGAAATAGTTAAGTGTTGTTTAACTGCTTCACTGTATCTGTGATTTGAGCTGAGGTGTGCATTGTTGTTTTTTTCCATTAAAAGGCTCTGAGGTCATCCTTTCAATCTTAATTCTAATGTGCTGATTTTCCATGCTTAGCAATTACATACATGATTCCTCATGCTGTTCCTAATGGCAAACTGTAGATCGTGGAATCATCCTGATCTACAACATTAATTTTATTTTTCTTACTTGAAAACAGAACAGGTATATACATATTTGGTATATGTAGCTGTTAGCTGTGATGGACATGCAGTGACTGTACACTCACCGGTTTTCCTCTTTGCTTCTACAGGTGGACAGACTTGAAGTTGTGAACAAGCGCTTCGTTAGAGTGATCTTTGTTTCAGGAAAGTCTCCTCATGAATGGGTAAATGCTTTTAGTACATATACATGAGACATTAGAAACAAAAAAGCTTTTTCTTTTTTTTTCTTTTTTTTTTTCTTTTTTTTTTTTTTTAAGGTAAATTTGATGTAGAAAACTTGCTCTGGAGTATTAATAATCTCTTAATCTAAACCATGTTTTGTGCCTTGCTGTTACATTATCCTACGCTGTGTGTTTTTCACTTTACCAGTTGTTTTGTCACAGATATCTTAAAACTATGGCAGGTAGTGCCTTTCCAGTATCATCTTTTAATATGAATACTCAAACAGGAAAAGTGAGAACTGCTGAAGGTTCTGTATTTTTAACTGCTGTTTTCCATCTGCTCAGGAAAATCCCAGACTTTGGAATCTTTTCTGTTCCAGGTTGCTTTAGCCAGTTATTAGAGAAAACAAAGAGAAATGTTTAACTTTGTCTCCATCTGATACTATAGTCTTTAAAAGTAAGCTGAGAGCGCTCATTCTGGAGAAAATTACTTAGCTGAGGTTGTTACTTTACTAGTAGCATAGTGAGGAACAGACTGATGCAGGTGAAAGTTCCTCAAAGACTAATACTCATTGGTGGGGACCTATTTAAATAAAATTAAAACTTAGAAGAAACATTAAATAAGCTTTATCTGGTTACTTCTTCCTAGGTGGTAGAGTATGTTTTAACTGACTTTCTGAAACAAGGTCTGCACGTCCCTCTGGGATAAAGTGAAATTTGCAGCAGTTACTTCATCAGTGGGTTTCAGTGTGACTTATTTATACACCTACTCTTTAGCCCAAATACCACCAGTTGCCTTAGTTTCTCAATCAGTTACTACTTAAGACTACTCTTCCCCCCTCCCCCCCCCCCCCCCCCCCAATATTAGGATAAGTAGGGGTAAGTCAGGCAGGTCATGGTGCAAAAGGGGAGATTTCATGAGAGAAACAAATCTCAGCAGTTTGAAAGTGCTGTCTGGGGTTTGTTGTAAGTTCCTGCTGTCTTTTGCAAAGACAGCTAACTGGAAGCTAATACAGACTTCAAAAGTAGAGAATTGCCTTTCTTCATCTAAGTTCTATGGCTGCTGTGTTTGCTGGTTCAGTGCTCTGTATTATTCTGACTGCATAGCTCCCTTTTCAAGATCTGTTCACCTACGTTCCTTCCATTTGTTCCTGGAGAAAACACCAGGATTTCAGTTTGTTTAAAGTGCCCAAAACTATTGAGTGTATGATCTCTGTAGGGGCAACAATAGGTACAGTTTGGTTTTATTCAGGTTGGTAGGCCTTAGGTTTGTTATGTGCATCTTAAATCAGTTGCACACTTTATGAGGCAACTTAAACTTGACCTGAATCTGTTATGAGAATGCTTGTGTGTGTGTTAGAAGAAGTTGGCTTGTAGTGAAGCTGAAATAAGATAGGGCACTTTGTGGTGATCTCTGCTTTTTTTTATAGCAGTACGTCTGGTTTAATATTGGTAGTGTGGACACTTTTGAACGGAATCTTGAAGCTGTGCAGCAAGATCTGGGAATAGAAGTGGAGAACAGATTGCCTGTAGTCTACTCAACAGAAAGTGATGGGTAAGAAGTCGCTTTAAAAGGGTGTCTGATAAAAAAAATGGTTGTGTTTACAGTAGCAAAGTAGATTTGTAATACATGCGCTGGATACTTCACTAGGTGGCAGTGTTATTAGAAGAACAATCAGCTTGGGTTTATTTTTGAATGTTTACTGTAAGAGGAGCTGTTCAGTAATTTGTCTATGTAGAAATCCATATCCTCTTACCCTAAATAGAGCTTCCTATTACATAAGCGTTTGTTTACAATTAGTCTCTCCTCCATTTAAGCTCTCCCTCCGAGTGACTTGCACCAGAGCAGGAGTCAGCCAGGCACAGCTGTAGAGATCCAGAGGTGACACTTTGCAGACTTTTGAACAGCCAAAATATGTCATAGAACTGCAGTATATTGACTGAGGTATAACACAATTTCTGCCCTTAAATTCAGCAGAAGTCAAATCCTGCGGCAAGAAATTGGTAATGAAGTAAATCACACTGTTAGCTCTGCCCCAGAAATGCCACAGGAAACAGGAGAGCACAGCAGCTACATGATCAAAGTACTTCTGGTCCCTGCTGCATCAGAATCTACTGAATACCACAGGATAGAGAAAAATCCTTCTTTTCCTGTTCATACCAGAATTCTGGGATATCAGTAAAGCCTGGAAATCCTGTGCTCACTTATGGTAGTGCTTCTTTTCAACATTTTGGTTTTGCAGAGTGTTGACAGAACCTCTTGTGAGCTGTTCCTTGAAGGCCTTACCATAGAGAAATGTGTGGAGTGCTCAAATACTCTGATAATTAGGAGTGTGTTAATATTAGGATTTTTTTGGCTTGTGCAGAGCTGTGCTAGAAAGCTGGAGGACAGACAGTGAAGGATAATGGGCAATGAGTAATGGAAAAAACAAAAACAAAAACCCCTAACAAAAAAATCCTGTGGCCTTGGGGAAGGGAAATAGAAACATTGAAAGAAGAAGAAAACAAAAATTGAGACAGCTCTAAGGGAAGAAGAGTGAGTATGTATTTTGGAGAGAAATTTCTGCTTGAAGTTGTAGCATACACCAGTTATATTTATATGCTACTAATGGAACTTACTTTGAGAATTTAACCATTTCATACTAAGCCCTATGAATATACCTTTGAAGGACACAGAAAATGAGCTATTTTTCTTTACTAGGTGTTGTGGTTTAAGCCCAGTTTTCCTCTAAGACTCATCAGTGTTTCTTGATGTACTTGGTTTAAAAGCAAACAAAAAATCAAACAGGGTGGTGGGTTTTTTTTTTTCTTGTACTTATTTTGGTTATTTTGCAGAGTGAACAACCTGCAAATGTAAACATTACAAGTCAATAGAGTGTTAGTCCTGAATTTGTTTGCTTATGATGGAACCAACATCTTGTATGTTATATGCAGCAGTGGACTTTGGTAATATATGTGATTTTCTGCCTTGTTTGTTTTTTCTCCACAGGTCATTTCTCCTGAGTTTGCTGCCTACAATCCTGATTATTGGTTCTTTACTGTACACGTTAAGAAGAGGTCCTGCAGGCTTAGGTCGAACAGGGCGTGGAATGGGTGGACTTTTCAGTGTGGGTGAAACCACAGCGAAGGTCCTTAAGGATGAAATAGATGTGAAGTTCAAAGATGTAGCTGGCTGTGAGGAGGCCAAATTAGAGATCATGGAGTTTGTTAACTTTCTGAAAAATCCCAAACAATATGAGGATCTGGGAGCAAAAATTCCAAAGGTAAGGGAATGATGACTTAGAAGATAAAACCTTTATTCTTTTGTCAGTCTTAGTATTCTAAATTGTACAGGAATGTCTACATATGCAATGCTTTCCAGCTTCTTTCTTTGCACAGTTGAGATGGGGGGGACAGGGCATTAAGTGCCAACAGTATAACTGTGGTGCCAGAAGATTTGCCTTATGGAACACTCGCCTGTTCACATGGGTCAGAAATGATACACAGCTTGCACATGTACCTTCACTTGTGTCTATAATTGTGCTAGAATTGCCTTTTGGCTATGCTGTTGTTGGAGCCCACCTGATGACATACCTTCGGGTTTTTTAATGTGTCAGCCAAAGAAAACACTGTTCCTGTAAATCTAAAACAGCACGGCAATGATGTATGGTTTGTTTGGTTGGTTTTTTGGTTTTTCCTTTTGCTGTTTTAAATGAGAGAATAATTTTCAGTTTGTTTTCTTGCACAATTCTGATTGTGGTGGAAGAAGAGCCAGTGGACTGAACATAATATGTAAATTTTTGACATAAGATATTTCATGGCTTATATTACGTTTTCTTTGTGAGGCAACTATACATGTTTCTTTTACAGGGGGCAATTCTGACAGGTCCTCCAGGTACTGGGAAAACACTGCTAGCTAAAGCTACAGCTGGAGAAGCTAATGTACCATTTATCACAGTCAATGGCTCGGAGTTCTTAGAGATGTTTGTTGGTGTGGGTCCAGCTCGAGTAAGTCTTTGGCCTTCCTCTTGTTTCAGTATTGGTTGTTGAAAGGATGTTTTCAAATCTGGGAGGCAAACAGTTTGATTCCGGCTGAAGTTTTCGTCTATGCAGTTTACTTAAAAGTGATGCCAGATGCTTGTGTAAACACAAGAGTCATAGATGCACCTTTCATAAAAGGAACTAATGCAGTTCAGTAACTGCTTGCAGACCATCAGGACCTGAAGGGTTTACCTCTTCGCAGGAACATCAGAAAACAGAACTCTCCATGCTCTGCTCTGAAGTAAATTTACTAGCTGAGTCAGATATATGTAGCCCATGTGACTACTGCTATGGGAGTGTTTCCTTCTGTTCTAAATTATTCTTGTTTCTTTGAAGAACTGTATTTTCTTTGTAGTTTCAAACTCCTAGATATAAATAGGATGCACAAATGGGCTTCTAGTTGAAAGAGGATTCTGAGGGTCACGAACATTAGATTGATTTCTGGAGTGATTCACATAACCAAATATCCATCTAACATTTTTTTTGTGCTCTTTTGCCTTAACTCTCTTAAAATAGCTCATTAAAAACATACAATGTTATATATATGAGTTACTGATAATATTCTTACGAATGAGGTGGGTAACATGAAAAAAATACCTTTCCTCCTAATGTCCACAATCATACTCCATTTCCAGCAGCTCACACCTTCACCAAACTCCAAGCATCTTTCTTCAGCCTTAAAAAGTATACTGCCAGGTGACGTGCTTTTGGATGACTTAACGTTTGTCTGTCATAAATTCTGTGAACAGACTGAAGGAAGCATACTTGTGGATTTTACTCATGTTTAAAAACTAATTCTGCTAGCACAAAGTGGAAAATATTTAGGGTCTTGATTTGAATTTCAGAGGGAATGGCTTTTACCAGATACATAATGCACTTCTATGTCCTGTGAAAATTCACAGGAAAACTCACTTTGAGTTCTTTAAGGCTCTGAGAGACTGCAGTTTCCGTGTGTGTTAGACGTTACCAGATGAACTTTCTGAGAGTTTTGGTCCTTAGTTTGTCACAGCTGTGCATGCATGAGCCTCTTGCAAGTGTAGGTCTCTCTTGATGGTGATACAGTTTAAGCCCAGCCGGTAACTTGGAACCACACAGCTGCTCGCTCACTCCCCCGCTGCTGCTTCCCACTGCTCCCGGAGGGATGGGGAGGATAATCAAAAGAATGTAACTCCCATGGGTTGAGATAAGAAGCTGAACTCAGGACAGATGGTGTTTTGCTGGAGTTCTTGCAGTAGCATGGGTGGGAAAAGATAGGAGATGCCAGGTAATTTTGGGTCTTCTGAAAAAAGAATAAGGGAAAGGGGTTCAGGCACACATGCAGGTAGGCACAAAGCTTGGAACTGGGAAGAACGGGAGCTATTCAGAAAGTTAAATGCAGAAGCTAGTTGGGAGTGGAGGCTTCAGTGCAGATGCAAGGAGGGTCTGGAAATGTGTAAGGAAACGGGCAAAAGGAGCTGCCTGGACTGAAATAGTGACTGGAAGCCAGCAGGTATGGAGATAGTGATGGTGTATGTAAGAGGAGTGGGACTTGGGAAAAAGGGAGTATGCAGTGTAAAAGGGGCTTTACAGGGAAACAGTAAGAAAATGAACTGATCCATATCATAGAATACCAGGTTAGAAGGGACCTCTGGGATAATCTGGTCCAACCTTTCTTGGCAAAAGCACGGTCTAGACAAGGTGGCCCAGCACCCTGTCCAGCTGAATCATAAGTGTCCTCTGGGAAAGTATTAGATATCCTGAAATGATAAGAATACTCAAAATATGTTGTCATTAGCTGTCATTACATACCTGAAATGCCCCAAAGCAAAGTGACTTAACCTCTCTGCTGGTCTATGCAGATGATTATCAGCTTTTACTACCCAGTGAAATCTGTTGACATAATAGTCACTGCTTTGGCTATGAATAGAGGTTTCAACACAGTCCATAATTTCTAATGCCTGTAGAAAACATGAAAGACTGTTTTAGTTTCATTTCCAATGAATTTAGTAAACAAGACAGTGATGTTAAATTGATTATTTGTAAATTGGGATTTGCTAGAATTGAAACTGCTTACACAGCCTTGGTTCCTTGTGAAAAAATAGTGGTATAATTCTGGATCTCTGTCACTTTCCAGTCAAAAGATAGTTCATTTTGAGCATCTGACATTTCTTCCTTGTTTATCCTTTTCCTTCATGCTTTGTTCATTGTACTGTTCTTGAATTCTGTTAACAGATCAGAGTGACTTTCTGCAGTACAGCATACTGTCCAAAATGTGCAGCTCTTCACCCCCCCCTGTACACTGTTATCAGAGAAGCCTTCTCTAATTGCACCTCTAACATACAAAGCAGTAAAGCCCTGAACTACATGTAATTCTCACTCAGGTCAAAATTCTTCCATCACTTTTCATTTCCTGTTTGCTCCAGTTCAATCCATCAGGTATAGATCTGTTTACTTGCTGAACTGGTTTTAATGAGGTCCTTCTGATACATTTGCAAGCAGAGTAACATCATAGTGTTGCATCTTAAAGCCAATCACATTGTGCTGTGACTATGAGAACAGAATTCGATAGGTAACATCTTACTTGAAAATCTGAAAATCTAAAAAAAATTTGTCTGTTTGCTGTTGTTGTGGCCAGTTTTTCCAGACTTTTAATTTAATTTCCAAATAAATACTTGAAGGTGAATTCAGTTCTTCCACCCCATGTAATAGACAGGATGGCTAAGAGTCAATATTTATAACAGCATATTTTTAGAGTACAATGGTAGGTGCTTTTAAGTAAGCCTTAAGCTCGCTATAGGAGCTACATCACCCTGTTCTAACTGCAGAAAAGCTTAAAACATTTTGATTTCCTTGCTATGAAGCATGACTGTGGAAGCATGTCCCTTCACATTCCAGTTCTGCTGGTAATACTGTGTGCTTAAAAAAAGCTTAAAAGAGAAATCTTGCTTTAAATCCTTTTAAGTTTGGAGGCCTTTAGAGCTGAAGTTGAAGATGAATTTCAGTTATTCAGGAAAAGTGGTTATCTCTTAAGGCTGTTAAGTTGGTTAATGTTCTTAATTTATGGATTGAGACAGGATTTGTCAACCTGTGGGTCTCCACCTTGAGTGATTCTTGCTCAGCAGCAGCTACAGTGTAACTTACCATTACCTTGAGAGCTGGCGGGAGGCTTTGGGACCCTTATTAACACCCATACTCAATTATAGTGATACTGTTACTGATGTACCTCTTCCCCTCCTACCCACCACAACCCTGAACAGTTACAAGCCCATCTGATACATACTCTGTTCTCCTGTTAAGGTTAGAGACCTATTTGCCCTTGCTCGTAAAAATGCCCCGTGCATTCTCTTCATTGATGAAATAGATGCAGTAGGAAGGAAAAGAGGAAGGGGCAATTTTGGAGGACAAAGTGAACAAGAGAACACACTTAATCAACTGCTAGTAGAAATGGATGGTAAGTATTCAAAGTCTTATAATAACAAGGATAAGAGAAAGAACTAATAAGCTTATTTAGACCTGTTAGCCAGGATTTGGGTTCTAGCTTAAATCTAAATTGAGTGTGTTTCCTTGCTTCCTAAATGGTAATTCATTTTGCTGCAGCCCGATGTTTTGCTGAAATTTGTTAGAAAAAAGAACCATAACTCTGCATCTGCTAACTCTGTCATAGTTGAATAGGCCAAAAAAATTCTTTGCATGAGACCAGTCTGTCTGTAAAAATTACAACTAGCCATGCTGGTTCTGCAGCTTCCTGAGCAGTTAATCTAGTACTGCATTTTGAAGATACAGCAGGATTTGATAGAGTACCTCACAAAGCAGAGCCCAAGGCCATTTGTTGCTTGTTATGAAAAGCAGGACAGTGCTGTAATAGATGGAAGTATTTTCAGCTTTAAGATCATTTGATTAAACTGCCAGTTCTTACGTGGCCCTGTAAACCAGACAGTCTTTCTATTTTTTTAATGGAAATCATATTTACACAGATTTTCTCTTTATTACATTTCTTCAACAGGATTTAATACAACCACAAATGTAGTAATTTTGGCAGGTACTAACAGGCCAGATATTTTAGACCCTGCTCTGATGAGACCAGGACGCTTTGACAGGCAGATTTACATCGGTAAGTTTTATCTGCGTTGCTGTATGCTTCTGCATTTGTAGAATACCACTGCAGCTATTTACATATGTAACTTCCTTGCACATGTTGAATTAGAATATATATGTGTAAATTAAAAGCATACTTCTTTCATCTTAAAGGTCCCCCAGATATAAAAGGAAGAGCATCTATTTTCAAAGTTCATCTTAGACCTCTGAAGTTAGACACAGTCTTAAATAAAGATAATCTAGCAAGAAAGCTCGCATCACTAACACCTGGCTTTTCTGGTAAGTCACTCCTAATGTCACTGTTCTTCTCCACTTGTTATGTAAGCTGACGATATTTGATTTCCCTACTACTGATCTTCCAGATGGTGCTGTGTTTTATTGTATATACTGGTACAGCATGAAATTCTCTGTCTGTTTGAGCAAGCAGGAGGTTTCTGAGTGTCTTAAGTTGCCTGCCTCAATCAGGGTGACATACCAAATGGCAGTTTCTTCTGTCTTCAGCAAAAGCAATCCAGAGAGTTCTCACTGCTACCACTCGTGCATGTATTCTTCCTTTTAATATGTCACATTCTTTGAACACTACTAGAGAAAAGGTGGGGTTTGTGTGCATATTCTGTAGGGGGGGATTTCTGTTTCTGGATATAAAAACTCTTCTCCCTGGTAGGATACATCGAACAAGTACTTCACTGTAGCTTTCTACCCAAAAGAATAATCCTAAAGCCTGTAATCATGGTATATATATTTAAATATCTCTTAAAGAGTTATATTGTGTGTAGCGTATTATTTCAGAGTGCATTACCTGTAATTTTCAAGCTCTGTGAGAATGTGGAGAAAATTAATTCTAGAACAGGTTACCTTTATGCTGGACTGAGAGAAAAATGTTGAAAATTACCTGTAATTCATATCTTTGCTTTCAGGTGCTGATATTGCTAATGTTTGTAATGAAGCTGCTTTAATTGCTGCAAGGCACCTCTCAGATGCTATAAACCAAAAGCATTTTGAGCAGGCAATTGAAAGAGTTATTGGAGGTAGGTGAATCACATCAGTAGTTTCTCAAAATTGTAGTATGTCAGGAGACTTCCTTTTTTATATACATACAGAAATCCATGCTTTGAATCTTTCTCCTGTTTATGGTTGTATTGTTTTGTCTCTCCTAAACACACCTGAGATTTAGAAAAGAAGTATCCTGTCTATATTACTGACTTCTGTAATGGGAAGGAGTACAGAGAGAAATTTCATCAGGATGCTTTTCTAATCTCTTCAAAACGGCCAGAGGAATAGCTGTTGGAATTTAGTAGTGCTTTTAACTGCTGTTAGCCTGAAATAGTTAAGAAAACTCTTTAATTTTTAAAGAAAAATATTTAAAGTTTGAATATGCTTAAAAGCTTATAGTTTGAATCTTGAAAATCTAATGAAGGACAAAGTTACAGTAGAACTGGAAGCGAAATTTCTACAGTTTACAAGTTCTGGGGTTTTTGAACTTTTTCAGTAGATTGTATATATGGCATCTATGTGTTGCTTACGATCTCTCTAAATGAGGCAAGGGATTTCCGTGGAGAAAGGTGTGTCTGAAACTATTAATCACATTTATTTTCTAAAGGTTTGGAAAAGAAAACTCAAGTACTGCAACCAGAGGAGAAAAAGACAGTAGCCTATCATGAGGCGGGGCATGCAGTTGCAGGGTGGTTTCTGGAACATGCTGACCCACTCTTGAAGGTAAAGGAAATTAATTAGAACTAGTAATGTAACAGTAGCACGGACAACATCTTTTCTTTAATGTTGAGAGAGTATTAAATATGTCATCTTGCAAAAGACAGTGTGTGTAGATTTTGCAGTATTTCTTTGGGTTAATTTTTGTAGCTTTCTTAACTGTTTTCTGACTTGACTGCTACAGGGCTTGTAGTATAAATGTCCTTGGAAAATAAAAGGGACCTGATCTTCCCATGAATCTGCCTGCTTTGATAGCTGCTTTTTCTCTGAGGCTTTTAGTACAGATCAGTAGTTTAATCTTGCCAGGTTTTGCAGGTAGACACATCTTTGGGAATATAACTATAAAATTTAACATCTAGAGGCTGATTTTTGGTTTTAATTTGCTTTTTGGATGCACAGTTTGACAAGTTGAAGGTAAAGGAAAAAGCACTCCAATCTCCCAAACTAGCATCCATGTTCATAGTTTAGCTTGGCTCTGTTCTTAATCTCGTCCAACTTTCAAGCTTAAAATTAATCTTGTACAATTTCCTGCTGGAAGGAAGGGCATTAGTAAATGTGGAAACTCCTTCAGTGAGGGAGAAATGCTATGTCTGTTACAGAATGCTTAAAAGCCCGATACATAATTCTAAAAGAATTGTGGATTTTTCATTTAAAGATTTTAAAAATACCATACAGTCTTTGGAAAAGATATGACAGTGGTCTTACCTTTCTTTTCCAGATATTCTAGTAGTTGTTATCCCAGTTTAGAGCTAGCCAGGGCTTTTAAGGATAAATCACAATGAGGGCAAAACTGTAAATGGAAATAATGTCAGAATTAAACCTCAAGGGTGAGTATGGTGTAGGTTGTGATATAAAAAATTACGTCAAACCAAAGAATGCTTTATGGGGTTTAACACTATTTAGTCCTAGCATTCTGTAATTTCACTTGTAGGTATCTATTATCCCACGTGGTAAAGGACTGGGTTATGCTCAGTATTTACCCAAAGAACAGTATCTTTATACCAAAGAGCAGCTACTTGACAGAATGTGCATGACTCTCGGAGGACGGGTGTCTGAGCAAATCTTCTTTGGAAGAATTACAACTGGTGCCCAAGACGACTTGAAGAAGGTGACCCAGAGTGCATATGCTCAGGTATGTGCTTCAGTGAGACATTTTTCCTTAGAGTTTTCTTTACCTGCTATCTCACACTAATATTTTTAAGTTATGCAATTTGATCAGGTATGTCCCTCAAAATATTATATGAATAAACATTATGCTCCTGTTGTATAGAGATGCTGATGAGTATTTTATTACAGTCTTATAACAAGAGTCCATGAATTAGACTTTGATTACGGTCCTACATCTGCCCATGGGAACATATATGCCACAGTTGGATTCAAATACATGTGGAAATTGTGTAATATTAAAATGAATTTGGTGTACAGATTGGATCATCTGATCCTACTTTTACAATTGCTCAACTTGGATTCGCATGTGTAACTAAATCCAGAGAACCTTGTATTTAAGCACTGCTGTCAAATAAGGCTGCTGAAATGAAGACATCTGTTTGTGTCACGTTAACTAGGATAGATGAGTAATTTGAAATCTTATTAGTGTAATGACTCACCTGAGTGTAGCTGTGTGCCACACACAATTGTGTTACTCCATTTCCTGCATCAGCACAAAAGATGTCATCTTAGAAGACACAAGGTGAGCAAAGAGATATTTTAGAATACATGTCTGTTCCCCAGCACAACACCCCCACCCCCAAACTATACTTGTTTTCTGGTCTCTGGTGTGCTTCTTGTTGCCCTAGTTCAGGAAGTAAATATGTAATGAAATCCTGTTAATTTTGTGGCATTTCAGTGACTTTTTTGTTTGATTTTAAATTTTAAAATGTTTAGGTATAGACTTCTGCTCATGTTAACCAGACCTATTGTCTCCAGAGAGAATGAGGGGCTGAAAGTATTAAACTTTTCTTCAGGAAGCGGGTTAAGATGCTTGGCTCTAATGCTGAGATCTCTTTGAATTCTGAATATCCTTCATCATACCTGTATTGATATTTCAAGACCAAGCAGAGAAGTGCCATTTCAGTAACCATCAAATTGATAGCAGCCACAGAGTGAATACTAAGTAGCAGTTTGAACTTATTTCTGCCTCTGCTAGAGTAAAATGCAACTTAAAAACATCTATATTTGGCAATCAGAGGAGTCTATATTCAGTAATGAGTCAAGCAAGATAAGAATCACTTTCACAGTTGTAGGGGAGTGTCTTGGAATAAAGTATGGCATATGATTTTTGCATACGATAGGACAAAATTTTGAAGATCTGCTACTTTAATACTTAACTTATGGGTGAGTGGAATACTCTTGGAAGCATTTTGAATTGGAAAAACACTTATTTCTGGTACAGGAAAAGAGTTTTACTGCTTAATGAAGTCTGAGGTGGTTTTCTGTAATCTTAGTATTTAAACAGTAAAGTACTATATACATCACAAGTAACCACCTTTAAATGGTGGTATTTATGTCCTTAAGTTGAATCATTAAAAATAAGTGGTCAACTGAGGTACTTTTAGCTTAGGTAGACTTGAGGTTTCAGGAGGGGGTTGGCTTTAGAGTTAAAAAATTGGATCATAGCAAAATGACTTCTTCCTTTCAGTTCTATTTACCATATTTTACATCAACATACCCTAAAATCGTGTTCTCTCTGTCATTTGATGTTTTTCTTTTTTTTTCTTCAGATTGTTCAGTTTGGCATGAATGAAAAAGTAGGTCAGATTTCCTTTGACCTCCCTCGCCAAGGAGACATGGTATTAGAGAAACCTTACAGTGAGGCAACTGCCAGATTGATAGATGAAGAAGTGCGGTCACTAATTAACATTGCTTATGAGAGAACACTGAATCTTCTGACTGAGAAGAAAGCCGAAGTGGAGAAGGTGAGCATTGCAGTATTTTTAGCTGCCAAGTTCCAGCTGTTAAGCCAGAAACTGAATTGAATAGATTAAAAATAGCGACCATGTAAAACCTAATCAGTGTAATCTTGAGAAGTCACAAGACTTAAATAACTAAATATAAATCTTCTTTCATGTTGTAACACCTCTGAGGTTCTCATGAATGGGATTTAACATCACTCCCCTTGTATGGCAAATATTCATTTGGAAAGCTGGAGGGAAGAATCTGTCTACCAAAGTAGGTTTTAGTAGACATACTAGTCTAGTATGAAATTTAAAAACCCCAAACACAAAATACCAGGATTCAATTCATTAGGCTAAAATAAGCTCTCTAAGAAGGGAAGTACATATAACTTCCTTTTTCTGAGTTCCTTTTGAACATTAAATGGAAAGCATCTTTCTACCGTCTTACTTCCCTGCCCCCCTGGCTGCTTGTGATCTGGCTCACTGCAGCTGAGATTGCCCTTGTGCATATTCTTCTTCTCCACGCCAGAAAGCCTGATACAGCAAAAGGATAATTTTCCAGGATAGGCATCTGATAGGCTTACAGACAAGAAGCCAAGTTTGGATTCTGTAAATAGTAGTGTAGTACATCAGCATCCCCAAAAAGATCCCTGACTGTGGTTTGTACTGAACAAGGCACTTTCTTATGCAAAAAGGTTACAAACTACACTTGTACCATATTGTACACACTGGTCTCTTATGGTGCTCTTTAGCTTGTAATGGAACAGCAGCTCTGTTGAACCATCTGGTTTGATAGGAAGGGAATGCTTGTTTTCATCTATAGCTTAATGTCTTGCATCAGGAGCCTCTTGGCAGCAGCAAAAGGCCACTGCTCTGAAACAACAGTAACAGCAACTATGGCCCATAGGAAGGGCACTTCGTTGAATCTTGAAAGTAGGATTAAAAAAAAAAAGGTATTTTTGCTACCTAAATGCTCACAAGGGACAAAAACCAATTCATGTATTAAGTGAACTCTGAGCAACCCGTGGTTTTCTGTCAAAATTAATCCGTGCTGAATGTGGTCCCAAACTGTCTTAAACTCTTCCAAAGACAAGTATCTCACATGTGTGACGCAACTTATTGCTGCTCCAGGTTGCCCTACGACTACTGGAGAAGGAAGTACTGGATAAAAGTGATATGCTAGACTTGCTTGGGCCAAGACCATTTGCCGAAAAATCTACTTATGAAGAATTTGTTGAAGGCACAGGAAGTTTGGATGAGGATACATCACTACCAGAAGGCCTTAAAGACTGGAACAAAGAGCGTGAGAAAGAGAAAGAAGAGACAGCAGATGAACAGGTTGCTAGGCAGATCAAAGGAGGGATGCCATTTTAACTGCAAAGTGTGTGGTGATGTTGACTTGCACTCTGGAACAGAAACAAACTCACCTAGTCTGTACTTCAAAAAAAAAAAAAGTATTTATTCAAGCAGACTGTATTAGGGATGGGTGGAAGAGTGATCTCTTGTCATGAGATAAGGATATTTTGCTGCCAATTTCCATATGTGATATCATCAGTTCACTGGTAAAACATGATCATCTTTCATTTGTCAGCTGAAGAACAATATGTTGGATTTGAGCTGCAGTGGAATGCCGGAACCGAGCCTCTCCAACTTTGAAACAGTTCAGATTCGTGCACTGTGGCACTGGTCTCTCCTGTTTTAAAATGTATGTACGCTTACAAAAATTAATTTTTTCTTTGATTATTCATCTAAAGTATACCTGTACGTGACCTGTTTCCAAAACAAAGAATCATACAAAATGCATTGTTGAATGCTTAGCCAAAAGTCTGGTCTTAAAAAGTACAAGCTTTGCAAAACTGTCAGCATTTTTATCTGACCATTGTCCCCTCCCACCTTTCACTTTGATTTTTAGAGAGAGTTTGTCTACAGAGAACTGCCATGTAAGTTGACAGTGAAACTGGAAGCCCACTTAAATACCTTAAAATGTACTCATGGTTCAGTGTCTCTAATTGAAGGCTGAAGCTCACTTGGCTCCTGCAGTTTTATTAGTCAGTTTTTTACAGAGTTCTGTAAGATATTGAACATATGAATGTGTTGTGTAAATACAGTTTGAGTCAATAAAATCAGTACTTTTCTGAACAAAGCTTTTCTTTTTTTTGATGGTTTCTTGGTATAGAATTCAGACCAATATAAAACTTCCTTTTAAGCATAAGATTTTGTTACATCAGGGTAGCAAGGTTGTGCCTACAAATACCAAAACCAGCAGCTGAATCCAAAAGTTCTAAATCAGATCAGAGGGTGATCAGGCATTGGAACAGGCTGCCTGGGAAAGTGGTAGGATCACCATCCCTGGGAGCGTTCACAAACTGTGCAGCTGAGGCCCTCAGTGATAGGCTGTAGTGGTGGACTTGGCAGTCCTGGTGTACTGGTTGGACTCGATGACTGTAAGATCTTTTCCAGCTTTGCTGGTTCTATAATTTTATGATCAGACTGTCATACTGGTTTGCTTAACCTAAAGTTACTGGGTTTTTATCCTCTGCTTAGTTGAATACGGTTTGTTTTGGTATAATAACCTGCTTCTGGTTCTCTTCTCTGTGCTAAGGATTTATTAGTTGCAAAATTCAGCTGTTCAGAAATTGACTGGTTGTCTCACTATGCCAGAAGAGGAGAGGGAAGCACAATTGGAGCAGGGTAGGGTGGCAAAGTGGAGAAGGAAAATAATCTAAGGACAAATCCTTTAAGGCTTGTGACTGAGAGGGCAGGTTAAGGGAAGAACTGATAATTGATTCCATCAGTGTGTTGCAAGATACTGGGAAGCAGTAGGATGACAAAGGAAGATCCCTCTGAAAGGTCAGACACAAGCTCTTTGCTCGAGTTATTTGATATAAGTTATTTATGGATATTATTCTTTTAGGACTTTTTTCTTCATACTGAAGCTGTTGCCATGTCTGTTGCTTGGCTTTGCAGTGAAGAGAAACAAGGGAAAAGGCAAATACAGCAATCTAGGGCATATTTACTGGGTGTTTTCAGTTATTAACGCTTCTGTGTATCCATACTGGAGTTGTAGAATGAATTATGAAGAGAAAGGCATCCCGAATAAAACTGCACTTCAGTTCCTTTGTTACTGGAGTACGTTTTACAATGACTTATTGCAATAGTAAACTTGTTTTATGAAACTTAAATCGTGTGCACATGGTAAAGTAGCAGCTGATTTCTGTGCATATGCTCTAGTGCTGATCCTTGCATGTATTCTGTATTAATGCCTTGTTTGTTCTATCCCCTGTTTAGCTGAAAAATTTTTGTTTGGAGTAGGCAATTTGTAGCCAGTGCAGGGGATTACATGTGCTTATGTTGTAAAAGTCACAATTCTGTATTTCCTCATTCCTTACTTAAACAAGCAAAAAACCAAGCAAACAAACAAAAACACACACACAAAAAAAACCTACTTAAGAAACACAACTCATTACCGCGCCTTCCAAACACTATCCAAACCCTAATGTAACTTCACAGTGGCACTACTGGACTGTAAAAGAATCATCTCCTCTCCAAGCAACATTCTTCTTTTACTCCCCTGTTGTGCTGTCTGCTTTTACACTCCATTCTTGTTCAGTTACAGCATGCAATTAGTAAGTGTATGACCATATAAACCCCTTTGCCTCTCTTTTAGAACATTAATTTGTTTCATGTAGTTTTCCCTCGGTAAGTCTTGTATTTTGTGCCAAGAAGTGGCAGAATTTGACTGTGTTGAGATTTTGGAATTAAAACAAAGACATGGAAAAGCTGTTTACCCAAGGGGCTGTTTTCAAGAGGACTGTAGCCTCCACCTACTCACAACTTTAAGACTTCAGGTGGTTTAGCATAAATCAAGAAAATCAAGTTTAGTCTGTGGCCACCAGTAAGGCCAGAGTAATTTCTACTGCAAACACTGAGCAGTGCTGCTTCAGCTAGCAGGGGCGTGCACAGCATCAAGGGAGCCACCGCATTCACTGCTCCTCCTGATGCTGGCAGAAGGAAGAGGCCTAGACCTTCTTTTCCAGCCTGACCTCATTCCCAGGACCACCTTTTCCTAAGGAGACACAAATGCAAGAGTAGGAACAGAGATGCAGAAAAATCGAGCGCTTAAGGCGGCCTGGTTAAGGTAGCACATGTGGGGACTAGCATGTCTGTAAACTGCTGGCTTCGACCAGAGTGGCTTTGCAAAAGAGCTGGCCCACCAGGTTAGATTCCAGTTTCTGTCTCAATACCTCCTTCCCACGGCATGCCTCGCCTGCTCCCTGTTTTCATGTGGTTTCAGTTGGGTAGGCTGCCGTTTTTTTCCCCTCATCCTGATGCTGGTAGAGGTTCTTGTGCCTTGGCGGTACCAGAGCTGCAGCTCTAGGCCTCAGGTGTTGCTTGTCCCAGCATAGGTCTGGCTTGTCCCAGCAGCCTGCCTCTAGGGATTTCTTTGTGGCCAGGTGCAAAGCAGTAAAAAGGGGAGGATTGAAGGTGGGCTAGGCAGACACCAAAGTGCAAAAGACTAGGTTGAAAACTAGGAGGGAAATAAAAAACATACAGGTGAGCAATGTGAAAAGATGAGGAACAAAGCTGGATGGGACTTGGCAGGTAGCTTTCAAAATAAAAGAGAAGTTTCACAGGAAAAAGCAGGACCTTATTTGAAAGGAAGTGCAGCGGAAGGAATTGTGCACCAAACCTGTTACTAAACAGTTCTCAGTTTTATGTCAGGAAAGGAAGGTGATTAGAGTTGGTTGACTGAAATGGAACAGGAACCATTTGTGCTTCCCGTGACGTTCATACTGCTTATGTGCAGGCTGCTCCTCTGGCCATGTTCCTACTGCAGGTTGCTGAGTTCATTTTGGTGGGTTGGGTTTATTTCCCCTAAAATCAGATGGAAGGTCTCCTTTAATTTCTGAAGAGAGCGTTAATTTGCTTTCCCCATCTCCACACATTCTAGAAATTCACATTAAACAGCTGCAAGTAAGCACATGTGGAAGTATGGCTAGGAGTCAAAGCAGGATCAGAGGACATTGTCAGGTCTGGATTCCATGGGCTCAGTCTATACGCTGGAGTTTGAGTCAGTGTATGAAGAGTAACAGAGAACAGGCTGTTTCACCAAGTCAGTCAATTATTTAGGAACTCCAAGATTCCTGGCTTTTTTAAGGTATTAACTTCTTTACGACAGCAATATCAGAATTTATGGCTGGGACCTAGCTACAAGTTACGTATTACAACAAAATGTAATTCCACAAGCTGTGAGATAGTTGGTGCTACTTCATTCAGAAGCAGTGCTAGTGCTTTAACTGGAAAGCTTGTGCCGCAGCTGTATGGCGGCAGGCTCTCAGCCTGCAAACACCTTCTCCTCCCTCTAGAAGCTAATAGTCTGCCGTTTACAAAGCTCCAACAAAACTTCCAAGTTTAATGGCTTTATTTACCATGCATTTTGCTTTGTATTGCACTAAATGTTAATTTCTGTTTAATGCATGTTGTATTTTAACTTAATCTCATGCCATGATACATAGCCACACCACCTCGCAACATTTATGCAATGTGTATTTAAAGGTGCACTGTCGGTAGCTGTGAATTCTTCAGGCATCACCAGCCACTGCCAAGACTGTGGCCCCTGTACAGTTGCTGACCCCACCATCAGTCAGGCCTGGCCCGGCCCGGCCCAGCTCTGTCTCCACACCTGTGCCAAAGCAAGTTTGGTTACTACTTTCCAATGACTCTGTTTCAACCCTTGAAGTCACTTCATATGAAAAAACCCTTGCACTTGATTAAAACTAGTTTTTTTCCATTTCTGTGTAGAATAAAATTAGGCAGGCAGCTTCAGCTTTTGTGATTAACAGTTCCCTGCTTCACAGAGTTTATAAAATACTGCGTCATTCCCTGAATCCCAAGCTACCAGAACACAGTATCATCTTATTAGGAACAGCGGATCTGTGGCAATCATGCTATGTTTGTAAAGTGCCTTTTTAAGTATTGAGCAACACTTTTGCTTAGAAAGTGCTTCTGAAGGTGACAAAAAAGGGTGAAGAATTCCCGAAACATTTAAAGTTTGAATTTCCAGAGGGTTTCTCCTCTGTTTGCTTGTTTTGTTGCCTAGAAACTGACCTAATTAAGAGACTCCATGTAGACAGAGTGTTCTCTGGTAGAGACTGTAACGGCAAAGGGCTGTTTAATTGATACAAGCAGAAACATAAAGCATGTATGGAGTGAATGTCCAGCAGTCACTCCCTCAAGGTGGTGAGTCAGCTGTGAAAGAGGCCTTTCTGTTTCAGTTTTAGTGTAAGCAGGTAAACTGTTGTTCATCTTCCATTTTGTCAGCTGTGAATATTGAGGATAATTTTATTTGTACTTTAACCTTAATCTGTCCAGTGATTTTAATCTATCTGGGTAACAAGGCATCCACAGCATCTATAGGTATGGTGAACTTACAACCCTAGGTAGTGAGATCCATGTTCTGTGAAGTATCTGAATTTCAGCTGGGTGGAAAGAAGATATGAATAAGCACCAGTAACTGGTAAAAGCCAGAAAGACAGGGGACCAACAAGGCATTGGGGAGCTGCTTCAAACTCCAAGGGTCCTTAAAGCACACATCACAAATGGATAGATTTCATATACATAATCTGTGATTATTCAGCAGCAAGTGATGAAGTCTCACAGCACAAATGCAGCCTCTGGCCTGCAGCTCACTGGATATTGATACAGCATTGACTGCCCAAACCACGTTTGCTTGAGAGGATACTAATCTTTTTTATTTTGTTTTTAGAGGACTGGAATCAATTATCACTGTTAATAGACACTGTACAGAATAGCCAAAAGCTTTTTCTTCCCTTTATTATGAATACATTTTGTTCCTGGCAGTTCAGTATTGTACATTCAGTATAGAATGAATACTTCAAACCCACAAGATTTCTTACTCATAAGTGGATGAAAACAGTGCAGCTTTTTATTGATTTTCATGTCTATTTTATATTTTCTCTTGTACAACTTCAGGGTGACAAACTTTGTTTGGAAAAAAAAGATCCCAAACTGGCAATCTCTGTGTTCAGACTCTTGGCCAAAGGCCTAACTGAAGACCTTACATTTGTCTCATGAATAGAAACGACCTGATTTCCAGAAATGCTGAATGTCCTCAGTTCTCAGTGATCAACAGGGACTCTGAAGAGCATCTCTAACACCTGAAACTCATGCTCCGTTTTTTTTTTTTTAAAGCCTAAATACAGATTTATAAATGTAATTATTAGAAAACCAGATTTGAGAATTTGGCCTGGAAAATAGTGCACCTAATTTTTTATTCATTAAGTTCTTCTTCATCATCTTCAAACGCTTCCTCTCCATCATTTGCTGTTGCTTCTTGGTATTGCTGATACTCTGAAACCAGATCATTCATATTGCTTTCTGCTTCTGTAAATTCCATTTCATCCATTCCTTCTCCTGTAAACCAGTGAAGGAAGGCCTTTCTCCTGAACATGGCCGAAAACTGCTCTGAGATCCTTTTGAAGAGCTCTTGAATAGCAGTACTGTTGCCAATGAAGGTGGAAGCCATTTTGAGGCCACGAGGAGGAATGTCGCACACTGCCACCTTGACATTGTTTGGGATCCACTCCACGAAGTAACTGCTGTTCTTGTTCTGAATGGCCAACATCTGCTCATCAACCTCCTTCATGGACATGGGACCGCGGAAGACAGTAGCCACTGTCAAGTATCGCCCATGTCTTGGGTCACAGGCTGCCATCATATTTTTGGCATCAAACATCTGCTGGGTGAGCTCTGGCACGGTGAGTGCTCGGTATTGTTGGCTGCCTCGGGCTGTCAAAGGAGCGAAGCCGGGCATGAAAAAGTGAAGGCGTGGGAAAGGGACCATATTTACTGCCAGCTTCCGGAGGTCAGCGTTTAGTTGGCCCGGAAAACGCAGGGATGTAGTTACCCCACTCATGGTAGCAGAAACCAAGTGGTTTAAATCCCCATATGTCGGAGTGGTGAGCTTCAGGGTGCGGAAGCAAATGTCATACAAAGCTTCGTTGTCAATGCAGTAGGTTTCATCTGTATTTTCAACCAGTTGGTGGACAGAGAGTGTAGCATTATAAGGCTCCACCACTGTATCAGAAACCTTCGGAGAGGGCATGACACTAAAGGTATTCATTATCCTGTCCGGATATTCCTCTCGTATCTTGCTGATGAGTAGGGTTCCCATGCCAGACCCTGTCCCTCCTCCCAGGGAATGAGTGAGCTGAAATCCTTGCAAACAATCGCAGTGTTCGCACTCTTTTCTGACTACATCAAGTACAGAGTCAACCAACTCTGCCCCTTCTGTATAGTGTCCTTTAGCCCAGTTGTTTCCTGCACCAGTTTGTCCTAAAATAGTATACAATAGGAAAAGAAAATATACAACATTATTGGCAAGGTTTGGTATTTGCATACTAAATGGATTCACATCTGTAACACAAGCTGCTATAAATCAAGTCAGGTAGATAACTGTGCTTTTCAGTTTTGCCTACAAGTGTATTTGGAAGTATCAACATAAACCTTTCATATAGTCTCCTTTTGCCTCAAATCCCTGGTAGCTTTTGTTTATGCCTTTGGGTATTTGGGGTTTTTTTAATTTTTTGGTATTTAACCTTCTATAAATACAAAGATGGCCTTGGCTCCTTGTTTTGAAAGCCCTCACACTCCCGACCCTCCTTATTCCATAAACACAAGACAACTGTTTAATCTTTTAACACTTTGTTTATGAGGACCATGACACACACAAAGCTAAATCACAGATACACGTTTTTGAATGAAAGGTTCTTGGACTGCTACCCTGAAACACGGGCGCTGCTGTCATTCAAAGATAAGTCTGGGCTTCAGAAGTCCTATTTAAATTGTTTTATCAAGAACTATACCTTTTTTTAATTCATGGTTACCTAGCCTGGATGAAAATACTGATTGACAGAAGCTTCAAGAATGTAATTTCAAAAACTGGGAAGTTATTACATGCCTTTTAGCTTTTACTTGTTTCCCTATAAATTCACTGC